AGGTGGTCATTATTGTTCCCAGTTCACAGGTGGAGGAACTGAAGCTCAAGGAGATTAGAAGCGTGGTCAAGGTTATGTTATTAAATATGCACAAAAGCTGTAATTGAAGCCAGGTTTATCTAGTTAAACCACTGCACCTTAAAGCCATTCAGCCATTTGTTTAACTGCTTCCAAGCCCAAAGCAAACAAAATATTGCTTCAGTCAGAAGGGAGTTAAAAGATTTCCCAAATGAAAGCCGTGCTGCAGCACAGTCAACTTTGCTTGAACGTAAGTTGGGTCCTGTTTCAAGCACTCCTCAGTGCTTTCCCGCAAATACAATCCGGCAGCCAATCTGGCCCCAGCCTGTATTCTAGTCTCATCTCATCCATTCTCTCCCAGCTCACTTCACTCTAGACAGATTAGCCTTTGGACATTTCTTTGAACATAATAAGCTCTTGTCCACAAGGTCTTTGCACCTCTGGATCTTTGCTCTTCCTCACTCTACCTGGCCACCTCATTCTCCGCATCCCTCAGACTTACTTTTAATGTTCCCCCCTTTAAGGGACCCAACCTAACAACCTCCTCAAAATAAGCTCTTCCCTCATATTCTCTCAGCTTTCGATTTTCTTCCTTTAAGCATTTATCGTGCTGTCTGATGAAAACGCTCTCTTACTTGCTTGTTTTCTGCCCCACAGTAACCACACACACCTTCCAGGCATATAAGCTCCATGAGAAGAGAATCATATTGCCCTTCTTATATCAGAAGACCTAGCACAGAGCAGTCATTCAATGATTTGTTTAATAAAAGGAAGGGGAAAATGGGAGAAAGGGAAAGAAAAAGGGAGAAGTGAGTGAACGGTGGGGTGGGGTATTTAGAAATGCATGTGGCCTGAAATGGTTTGTTGTAAGAATTTAAAAAGAGATAATGGTGAAAAAAAGAAAACCACTTCAAATTGTGCCCAGCATATAGTATTTGATGATTCATAACTCTTTTCTATCAAAAAGTATCTTTAATACCCCAATTACCCTGATTTAATTCACATTGGATGCCTATGTCAAAACTTCACATGTGCCCTATAAAGATATACAACTATTATGTACCCATAATAATTAAAAATTTAAAAAAATCTATGTTTAACCCAGAAGGGTTAAGCAAACCAGAAATCCAGGAAAGCAATCTCCTACTCTGACCAAAAGTTGCTCCATCGGAATTGAAGAAAAGTAGTTCACATAGAAATTTCATACCTGTGTCTAAGTCTTTTCTGCCTCACAGCCTCTCCCAGCCCGAACCCCACACTTTCAATCAAAGCAGAAAACCTGTTTCCTTCCCATCTTCCCTATTGTTCTCTTTTTCTAAATTGGCTGCAAACTTTCTCCTGTTGGCCTAGGAACAGCTGAGCAGCAGCTGGAACAGCCCATGGGGAAAGCCCCTGCGGTAGTCAGGAACAGGCACATGAAAGTCAGAAAAAAGGAGGACAGAACAGGATTCCGGCAGCTAGATGTCCCAAAGTAGTGGCATTGACCTTAGACAAGCCGCTTGTTAGTGCGATGGCTCAGACTGCCAACATTCAAAGTCTAGCTTTGTCACTTACTAGTTCTATAACTTTAGGTAAGTCATTAACGACTTTGTTTCTGAGTTCCCTCGTCTGTAAAAAAGGAATAGTAACTCCTCGTAGGGTTATTGTGAGGCTTGAATAAAGTCATTGTAAAGAACTTACACTGGAAGAGTAAACACAATGAATTTTAGGTATGATTATTTCCTCCGTATGTGTTTGTGGGTATAAAATGTCATTAGCTGATGAAGATCTTTCATAGAGTGAGCAAACAATTGTTTAATGAATCGAGTTTGATAATTAAATTAAACATTTTGGGGTTTAAATCCTGTCTGAGAGAGCTTGTCTTCTTGAATTTTCTTTTTTTCAGGTTAAACCACAGCATTGTGAAGGGAGCATGGAAAACAAAGTTACCAAATCCTGTAAGAGAAAATTCTTGATCCCTGAAATCCTGGATAAACCCTCAGAACTTGCTCCAGTGCAACCTTTGTCAGGTGGGACATGACTGAGCAAGACAGAGTGACAGGAAAACCAAGAGAAGAAAAGGAGATGAGAGCAACGCTTGTGGGAAACAGGTCTAGGAAAGGTTGGGTCAGAGAAAAAAGTCTGGAAAGACTGGAAAGTATTCAGAAAAATAAATAGGACTAGGATCATTAACATTAATCAATCACTTGCCATATGCTGGACACTATTTCAAGTGCTTTATATGCATTCAATTCATGTAATGCTTTCATCTACCACAGGAAATAGGTGTCTTTGTAATCTCCATTGTATACACAAGGAAACCGAGGCACAGAGAGGTAATGCAGTTGGCCCAAGAATCACATAACTTTAAAGCAGCTCTTCATTTAAAGGCTCAATAAAACGGATAGGTTGGCAGCCGTGGGATTCACTTAGAATTGGAAAGGAGAATAGGAGGGTAGGGATGGGAACCGAGTTCATGTGAATTTATAACAATGTTTGAGGTTTTAAATTCCAAAAGCTTTTGTATCATTTTAGAAAGTATCTCTTAAACTCTGATCTCTCTTTAATCTACTCCAACAAAGAAATAATCAGACTGTACTAGAAAATAAGTCATAAGAAGATATGCATCGGTGAATTCTTTTGTTTGAGTGAAAGGCAGCCTCAGGCTTAAGAGTATGTAGCTTTTTCTACTGCAGTTGTAATAATTTTTTTGTTACCCAGCCCTGCTGGTATCTTCCCTTTGCCTTGCCCCAATAGCCGATAGACTGCTAGCAATAATAGAGAAGAATTTTAGGAAGAAAGAAACAATACAGGAGTTTAGGGGCTGGTCACAGAAGGTAATTTCTGACACTATAAAATCCTTGTTTCCTTGGTCTGCGACAAGGAAATGTACTTAATAACCATCATTTTTCTAACTCGTCTTACAAGTGAAAATCCAATACAATTCTTCAGTGGGATACACACACACACACACACACACACAGCAAAGGCATTTGAAAAAGCTCACCCATTTAGATTTAATTACATACATAACTGGTGTCCTACCAAGTGTGAAAATGTTGCAACCAATAAATCAAACAAAAAGTGTTATCTGAGCAGAACCGGTGTATATAGAAGATGCATGAGAAATCAAAATTTACTGACTTGCACTGGGTATTTTTTACCCAGAGAAGTTCTTATACAGAGCCAATGCCTGCTCTTTGAATCTGGCCTTCTTCTGTACACTTAGGTCACTTTCCCTAGAGGGTGTTTTTGTGTTAGGATTTCGAAGAGAAAAGGAGGATTCAATCTTAAAATCATCTCTGTGTTAAAGGACCACTGGATTTTTGCTTATATGTTAGATTTTAAGGACCATCTCATTTGCCTAGTACTGTTACTTACATACTTAATTAATAATTACTAAATGAAGCTTAATTCAGAAAGATTACTTCATATTAGAGCTTCCTTGAAATGCAAGGACGATTTGCAAACTGCTGCAAAGCCGAAGGGGTTGGGGGAGAGGGACATCCAGACTCCCAAAATATCTTCCCAGGTAGTGTCATAAAAATACATTCCTTTTAATAATAGTAATGGGATACTCTAAGCATTGTCAGCAATTTTGAGCTTTAGGAAATGTATTTTCAAATGTACCTACTTTGAATTGAAATTTCTCGTGAATGACAAACTCGGAATAAGAAAGTGAGAGAGACTGGAGTCTTGGGATCTTTTGGGCGTACCTTTGCCAAATGCAAATTGTTTGAGGGTACGGATTCACTACATTTTTTCTGTTCCCATTTGTAATGAAATTAAATGGAAAACGTTTTCCCTTTTAATAAAACCTTGTGGAAATAATAACTCAATACACTTCATAGCTGCTGGTCAACCATGTTAAAGGCACAATCTGATCTCTGCTGACACTTTCCTAAGGAAAAGAGCCAATGAGCTGAACAACTTCCTCATGCGTTGTGCATATGAAAATGAAAATGCAACAGACTCAGGATTGCAAAGGTTAGATATAAGGAAATATATATAAAAGACCAGGAACTTTTTACTTTGTCGTTAAATTATAAGGCTCTTTGTTTTTCATTGGTTAATTGGAAAGCAAAATGGCTCTCCCCTGAGTTGCAATAGTTCATTTCTTACTTTACTTTCTAAATCACACCATAAAGATCATTTTAAGGGATCAGATTGAGTAGACTGTGTTTTGCTTGCTTATTTCGCCTGTTTCAGAGTTCTAGGTTCTGACAGGGAAGCAGGCATTTAGACGGGAACAGTATGAAACAGGCAAGGTTCAGAGATAGTCTCAGAATGACTCAAGCAGAATCCACGTCCTCTTTCTCCCTAGCTGCAGATTGTGAAGTCTGGACCTGGCTCCTGCTCTCGTTTCTCTAAATATTTATCAGTGAACAATTACACATCTGTCCCAGTGGCAACAAATTTGGCCAAGGAAATAAATAAGAATGCTTTCTTTCCCCAAATATGCAAAATAATGCACAGCCACTTGAAGTTTTTTGAAACAGGAGCTTTTCTCATCTAATTATCAGACTTAAGTCCTCTTGTGTAAACACTCGTTTTATTAAGCATATGGAAAAGGGATGCTATTTCAGTATGCTCTGTTTCTCTTTTTTTATTTTCTATAATTGCCACTTGTCTGGCTCTTTCCAGTAAGTTTTTCTAGTGAGTATCTGCTTCTCTTATCATTCATGCCAATTATACTGAAATTAATAGAACTGCTTAGTAAAGTCCACTGCTTCCTGGAACAAAAACCTTTCACACAGAAGAGAATTCCTTTCACTTGCAAATCTTTTAAGAAATACATTTATGAAAGATTGTCTGATGTGACTTAGAGTTCACTATTTGATCAGGACACTAAACCCAGAGCTGCATTTTGCAAGCCTTTTATTTTTATTTTTGTATTTGCAAAGGACTGTTTACACAAGTTTACTTAAATTGACCTTTCATGCTTTAAATGAATGTAGTTTTTGCAAACCCGAGTCAAAGCAGCAAATACAAATTGTACTAACCTTAGTATATTGAATCTTCAAATTGGTGAGTGGAACAGGTAAGTCTGGCATGCCTGAGGACGACATTTCTGGTTCAGCTCCTGGAACACAGGTGACAGGCAATTTGGTTCTGATAGAGCACTTGGCTTTATTTGTTCCTTTTTATCTGCAAGGGCTAAAGTTTATTTGCATACTGGGATATGATTGGATGAAACAAACTCAGAGCAAAAAAAGAAAACGACGCTACTTATTTGTAACACCTAGAGCAGGAACCCTTTGACTTTAAACTTAAATCCTTAAGAAACCAGCTCTCCAGCGTTGAAGTTGCATCTGGAGACACTGCACTATTTGCAGATGAATTAATTTACAAAACTGAAATCCGTGATGAGAGTATGCAGCGCAGCTGCTCTGGCCACTAAGTCCAGTTATTATTTTTTTGACTTTTCATGCTTTGTATGCTACTATGTAACTTTCTGTTCTCTGACGGACTTAAGAGAATTTGAGGATTGGAAAAGTCTCAAAGGGCACTTGTTCTCAGTAGAAGCTGATGAGGAGAGAACCCTGGCCAGGTGTCTTCAGGACAAGGCTGTCAGGAAAACAGTCCATCTTCCAGAAAAATCAGAGTGCTGTTTGGGCAAGAAAGGCTCTGTATCTAGACTCTAACCTACGTTAGCTTTAAAATATCATATCAAGTGTATTTTGAGTGCTAGGTAAGTAGACCTACTGTGCTCTCAGAAACTCTAAATTATTTTTATTTTCTATATGTGAACAGAAAAGCCAGCAGGACTTTTAGGGAACTCAGAATTTACTGTTACAGACACCATGATTAGCAATAGGGAAATATCATCTATTAAAACTCATTTAAAAGGAAAATAACCTTTGGTTTTGGAAGTTATCTGTACTTATCAATATAGGCAGTTGTACAAAGAATAAATTGAAGCAGGACTTCCAAATAATTCAAATTCTTAAATTAATGTTTCAAGCTGGGAACATTCAAACTGGACAATTTTTAATTGTACTGCTCTCCTTTTAAGTACAATACTTCATTGTAATGTATCTCTAGCAAAAGTCACAGTAGGAACAAGATAGAATACTTTGGATGCTCTGATTATTAAGAACTAACAACAATTTTGTCCCAGTGAAAATTGCCAGCTCTCCTGAATATGGGATTTTGATCTAGAAACTAAGAATTATTGGATAGTTTTGTCCAAATCAGGTGCAGGAGCCTTAGTTTCTCTATCTTTACTTTCATAATATATTTCATAGACATAGAGAGGGTTATTTTCTTTCTGATGGTCACAGATCTAATAAGTGCAAGGTCAGAATTACATTTCACGCCAGTCTGACTCCAAAACCTGGGCTCTTATTCCTGTTGACTCTCTCTGCCCTCTTCTCCACAAGAGGATTCCCGGATGGGTTCAAGGATCAACTGCTTCTGGAAGTGTATAGTCATCCTCACAGGCACTTAAGCACAACTTTCTATTCACCTAAGACAGAGGTTGGCTAACTTTTTCTGCAAAGGAACAGATGATAAATTTTTTCAGCTTCCTGAGCCAGGTGGATTTTGTTATAACTTAACTTGACTCCACTTAGAAAAAAACTGTAGACAACAGTTAAATTAAGGGGTGTAGGTGTTTTCCAATGAAATTTCATTTGCAAAAACAAGAGGCAGGACAGATTTAGAGCATGGGCCAACCCCCTAGATGCTAAGGCAATACCGTCCCAAATGTCCTTGACTCCCCTCACTCGTGCTTGAGGACCAGAAAGAAACCTCTGTGTTCCTTTAACATTTCTCTTTCTCAATTTCTTTCTTTTTGGAAAATCATTATTTGCTCTTTCAAAAATGTGTTTTGAGTTAAATGCACAATTACACAACAGCTGTTACATAACTTGCGGAGTGGGGCCCTGGCCATGCCCAGACAGCTGTGTTTCGCTGCTTTTTTGTGCTCCCAGTTTCGCAGTTGTTTGTGGATTCAAACGCTGGTTTATTGGATGCCAGACAGTGAAAGCTCAAGGCTTCGTGACACACTTGCCATGTCATCTCACTCCTTATACGTTCACCTTTGATTGTATTTTATTGCATAATTATGTAAGAACAGTCCATTTATACCAGTCATTACTGAATGTAGGCAAAGGAGAAGCTTTAGAGATAGGTGACCACACCCGCCCATTTAATTTCAACAAATATTTACTAAGTATCATTTACGCATTGGTAATTCTCCAACCTACTCTCCCTTGAAGAGCAGATCTTTTCTACCCAGAAACCACAAGACCTGAGATTTATATTTTTGAGGTAAGCATCGCCCTGCCCTGAGAACTTTTCTTACACAATAGGATATTACTGGGAATGGTTACATGGGTACAAGACTTTATCAGACGACTTCCCTCCTTTACAGAGGGAAACATGGCTTTGGTGAGAACATGGGGGCCAAGGAGGCACAAGTCAGGACTAGACCCAGGGTCGTGCCTTTTCATTGTTTGCCAGGATTATGCAGCAGAAGGGAGTCAGGTACTTTACCTTGAGGGTAGTTAAAAGTAGAGGGTAGTTAAAGATGAAGGATATTTGATCTTCTTTCCCTTCTTAGGGACAAGCTAAATTACACACATACAGAGAGAGGGAGAAAGAGAGAGAGAGAGAGAGAGAGAGAGAAGAAATATAAGAGAACAGTTTATTCACTTCTTGAATATGACTTCTTCCAGGCCTTTGTGAAAACTGGCATTATACCAAGAAACTTATAGACTATGACTTCAACCATTACTGAAACTACACTCTCATTTTACAAGGAGCCTCTCCAGAACTCCATTCAAGTCTCAGTTTTGAAAGATAAAAAGAGCCTAACCTTCCACTCATGTGAGTAATTACAATGAAAAAAAAATCAAATTTGTTAATGAAAGTTAATTGTATGGCGACATAAAAATAGCTTCTGCAATGGGCTGAATGTTTATGTCCCCCCAAGATGCATATGTTCCAATCCTAGCCCCCCAGTGTGATGCTGTTAGTGGGTGTGGGTTTTGGGGAGGTAATTTGGTCAAAAGAGTAGAGTCCTCATGAATGGAATTAGTGCCCTTGTGAAAGAGACCCCAGGGAGGTCTCTTGCTGTGTTCCTCCATGTGAGGAGATAAGAAAAGCAGCAATCTATGACCCCAAAGAGAGCTCTCACCAGAATCTGTCCATGCTGGGACCCTGATCTCAAACTCCCAGCCTCTAGAATTGTAAGAAATAAATGCCTGTTTTTTATGTGCCCCCCAGTCTATGGTATTTTTTTACAGAAGCCTGAAAGAACTAATACTGCTTCTTTTCATATTTCCTGATTTCAGAATCCTAGATCCATTTATTGATGCTAAACTTGTCCTGCTCGAGTCATGACAGCCCTCCCTGACCATCCGCTCTTGCCTTCAGCATGGCTGGATGAGTCTGCCTGTTGGTAAACCCAGCCATGGATCTATCTCTATGCTTTGGATCACTACAATTTTAGCAGATACTGCATCACTCTTATACTTGTTTGGGTTTTAATCATTTGGAAAAAGTGGATCTTGTATGTGGCTAGAGAATCTGTGCTTGGTTGGCACGTTGGTGTTCAAAATGGAAATGGAGAGCAGAATTCGAGTATGTGAACTTTTTTTTTTTTTTGTTGTTTTTTTTTCTTTTGCCTTTTTTTTCCCTTTGCAAAATTTCCTCACCTCTGATTTCTCCTGCTCCTTGTATGTTCTTTCATTGTTTTTCTCTGTCTTGTTTTACTGAGATATGGCAGATGCCCCTCTTATATGATACAATCAGGAACACTGACTGGTAAAGTCACTAAAAGATTAAAAGCCTCTGTAAGACAATTATTTTAAACAGATTTTTGCTAAATCTGTGGGTCAAGGCCATTTCTTGGAACGGGGTCTGCTATTTGAAATGTGAAATAATCTTGCACAAATAGCGCTGACATTGTGTTGTCTAGAACTGCAGTCCCCAACCCGGGGGCCGTGGCACGGTCCATGTCTGTGGCCTGTTAGGAAACCGGCTGCACATCACAACCTGAGCTCCTCACCACCACCTCTGGTGCCAAAAAGGTTGGGCGCCACTGGTCTACATTTTTCAGTTTGTTTCCTTAAAAGTAGAGAAAGAAATTTAAGACACTAAGGATGTCAGTGAGGCAATCTATAGGTAGTCTACTTTGAGATTTCTACAGTTTTTTTCATTTTTTTACTACTATGCACAGATTATTCAGCAATGTGTTTAGTCACTTGATATATTGAGTGTTTGCAAAATATTCAGTTTAGCTTTCATAGAAAGAACTCTCCTTCCCCCTAGTCAATAATTTAAATAACATTTAATTCAATTTTGTAATTGAAATAATAGATTCAAGTGAATAATCAAGTTTTAGGTAGGGCAAAGAGATCTCACTATTGGTAAGCAGAGTAGATTATGCCTTAATCTGAGTATTCATAGACATGAGTGTCAGCACTAACATTTTTTTTGCTTTTTAAATATTTTTTGTTTTTTAAAACTTTTAAAAAATTTGTATAAAAAACTACAAAAATTGACTGGGCGTGGTGGCTCACACCTGTAATCTTAGCACTCTGGGAGGCCAAGGCAGGAGGATCATTTGAGCTCAGGAGTTCAAGACCAGCCTGAGCAAGAGCAAGGCCTTATCTCTACTAAAAATAGAAAGAAATTAGCTGGACAACTAAAAATATATAGAAAAAAAATTAGCCGGGCATGCTGGTGCATGCTTGCAGTCCCAGCCACTTGGGAGGGTGAGGCAGGAGGATTGCTTGAGCCCAGGAGTTCGAGGTTGCTGTGAGCTAGGCTGATGCCATGGCACTCTAGCCCGGGCAACGGAGTGAGACTCTGTCTCAAAAAAAAAAAAGAGAAAACTACAAAAATCATAAGTGTACATCTTAATAATAGTCATAAAATAAACAAAACAAAATAACCATAACTTGGGTCAAGAAATAGAGTGATATCAGTACTCCATAGCCTGTATTCTACACTCTTGTGATCACTATCTCTTTCTCTCTCTCTCTCTAGCTACCAGGATCCTACTGCCTAATGTCTCATGTTCTTTTTTCCTGATTTTGAACTTGATATAAGCAAATTATACAGTCAGAATATTTTTACAAAGGAAATTCAAAGGTGCAAGTTAATTTATCAAGTTAATTAAACAATGATTGTA